AATGAACATCATATATATATATATATATATATATATATATATATATATATCATCCCCACGGAGTTCGAACACTGCTTACAACCCCGACGATGGGCGGACCCACGCGCACGGTAACTGTACCGCTCCAGAATAACCCGAGTCTATGATCCTATTACAAGCCGCTGAACTCAAAGCGAAGTAGTCGGAACTTTCCAATATCGATTATTGTGCATATTTTGTGGAACTGTAACTGTGCTAGTTAGATTCGAATTTTCAGAGGTCTGAGGATTAAAATAAGGAACTAGACGTTTGAAAGCTGATTCGGCGAGACATAACAAAAACCGAATAACTGGTGCAGTAGAGGAAACAAATCGACCCGTTCCCGAGACGGTTTACTAAGGTCTTGGAGTGAAAACGTAAAAAGTGTTGCCATCGACCGTCCGACCCGATAGAACGTGCGCACACGCACAGATCTGCAGTCGGAACTAATTCTCGTAAACAAAATGATCCGCCCGATCAAAGGACCAATAATCCACGCGTGCATGCGATACACATAAGAACACGGACGACTATCGATTGTGAAATCTGTGGGCGCAGTATGCTGAACACAACTAAGTAGCTGCCTTGGGTCCTGGACACGAAGACCCAGCATGTCCTATCTAACTATGCCATACACGCAAACTTACATATCCCCGTGACGGAGAGAGAGCAAGACAAACGTCAGCGCTGTGGTGCAAATGAGTGTATATGCATTTCTGTCTTTCTGTGTGTGTATGTGTACCAATAATGGTAGAGATAGGCTTACAATCACATGAACAGGAGCCAATCTGTCCGGCGCGTGGAAGCACGCACACACGTGTGCACGTCTGTGCATGCGAACACAAGCGCACGTGCAAAAACGGGTACACACACGATAAAAGAGGAGGGAGTCAAGCAGCTGCGGTCGTGTTTATTCTTGTGATCCATCAGTCAGGAGCCGGGAGAAAAGAGGTTTATGTCGAACGAACGCTGGCTGGGATTGATCGCATGAGGAAGCAAATATCAAAACGTGTGAACAAACGTCACTACTAATCGATTCCAGGCTAGAAGATAAAGGATTTCGGCGAAAGATTAGACAGAATTGATAAAAGTGGGTGGTGAGGACATGGAGAAACTGGGAGGAAGGGGAACGGGACGGATCGTATTAAGTTTGCATCAGACCGAAAGTCAGGCACAGGTTACTACAAACATATGAATGTGCGGCCGAACGGATGAAATCCACTTTTGAAAGAATGCTCGACCAAATGAATGTAGTCAAGAGAAAACGGTCTGAAGGACAAACTGACGATCGAGACCCATCCCGATAGTGGGCCGGGGGAAGGCCTGGGTCCAAATCTAATACCCCGTGAGTTCGGCGAAAGTCTGATCCAGCTCGCCACTGAGATCCTTGTAGCGGACTTTCTCGGCCAGGAGATCGTCTGCACGGAAAACACAAATATCAGCACAGAAGTAAGCATAAAAAAGTAGAGGTAATCGATCAATGGACCACCAGCTATAATGGGTCTGCGCTGGAACAGCACTGCCAGTAGAAATATGGTTTATGCATGCGTGAAACGAACGGAGAACGAGCACACATTATATACTAAATGACTTTGGATTGGAAGAAATAGTAATGACGCATTATGTTGGCTAAGAATAACATTAGATCCTGCCACGCAAGGAACCGTCAGACCGTTTCAAAGCCAATTAGTCCCTTCTCTTTATAAAGCAACTCCGAGACTCAAAATGAAACCTTGGAAATGTAAATATCGATGCTGGATGTGTTCGCGTGCATAGCCTACAGCGACCGGAATCGACACATTTTCAATCAGGCGGCCTGGTTTTTCTCGGGCATAACACTTCAGCACTCCAGGGTTAGAACAAACGCCAAACCCAAACTCAGAGATGGGTGTGATAAAATCAACAGCCTCTTCTTGTATAGTTTTCACCTATTGGATAATAAACAGAATGCTAGGTCACACACTCCAGCCAGTACCTGGTTTTAGACCTCAGTAGGGAGCACTCATAGGCGCAAAAATGATTGTAATGCCCACCAGTTCATGACAAAATGCCATCCCGGAGGGTGGACTATGGGTCACGAATACTACATGCGGATCACAAGTTGCGACAATTGCCCTCTTCGCAACCAACTCAATCGGAACCGGAACTACGACGAAAGTCCAGCTACTGGCCGTCGATAAACCTCAGATTTGCACCTCTCGGTCAACACGGAAATCAGGGGAACACAGTAGAATACCTCGCCAACTCAAACCAGTTGGCAAATGGAAGATACTTAAGTCAACCCGAGTCATTAACAGCTAGCCACCCTCCAATAACACCACACATTATACACTAGTCTGAGTCCAAACTACTAGGTGAAGATCATAGTTGAACAGTCTTGCAGGTAATATTGATATTTTCGTGAGCTAGCTGTCTATTTAAGCGACCATCTTTGAGTTGAAAAATTGTGGATGACGCATATCGGGAGCTACAAAAGACAGCTTATCCAACGGCACCAAAAACTATCCAATTCATCCTCGAAAGCCGTAACTCCTTATTAGCCCTGGCGAATCACGAACCATCAACTAGTCCGTAAAGTTTTTACAAAATGCGGGATCCGGACTAGACTAATGGCTCTTCGCAGTTCACCTACGAATGTGCTCCACTTACCGAACTTGAGGATGTGGTCTTATTCATCCCAGTGCCTCAGTGATAATAAAATTTAAGATTCACTCGATAATCTATTCAGCGCCCTTTTCACTGAAGTGGCAGGAGAATTTATCTATTCCCTACACTTGAACTTTAAATAAAAAATGCCCTTTCTGATGCCTTATCTAAAGAAGACAATTTCGAACACCACATTGCATAAAATTTATCCCAGGACATTTTCTCATGCCCTTCGACTACCGTGCAAGTGCTTCTATCTAGTGCACGCAATCCAAACAATTTACGCGGAAAGTATAATCGCCATGAGCGCCACAGCTAAGACTGAAAACAGACCATCGACAACTGAAATCTGGGAGAAACTCAAGCTGTAAAAAAACCGACCGGTATTGCAGGTTTCACCTCAGCAGCAACTCAGAGTTCTTGCCGCATCGATCACAAAGGTTACCCTTTCATCCCCAGCGGAAGTTATCTCGAAGTGCATTTGAATTCCAGATTGTATAACATTGGTCCGACCACAGAGACTAATGCGCAAGACGAACAGTTAACAAGATCATCCAAGAAGTTGAGAATTACACCAGAGTCAAAAAGTCTGATCTCATCTCTATCTGATTCTCCAACCCACTGCACAGTAAAATATATTTACTAAGAAAATCATAGTAACAATCCCAACTGAGGTAAGGCATGCATATGGGACGAGAGCAATCAAAAGGAAACGCGCAGAGAACACAATGAAGCAAATAGCAACCGGTCAGACAGACAAAAGGGCATAACTTGCAAGCAAGCAAGGCTTAGAAAGCCGCAAGACAGTGGGGTTTGCACTTGTTTGAGTGGGTGAATGTGTATGTCAGATTGTAAGCGTGAATAAATGCGGACCAAGCATTGCGCGATGCGTACAAGATGCATAATGCTATGGACACAGGCAGGAGTTCAAATCCAGTCATAATAAAAAAGAAACTAGCAACGAAACAGGCAAAGAATAATCCTATTCAATTTTCTGCACGCATTACTGAAGAGTGAAGTTAAGGTCAGAACAAGTGGATGGAGTTAGCTCAAATTACAAGCAAAGAACTGAGAAACAAACAAGAGGTAAATAAAAAGCATTCCACGAACGATGAGAAAATGATGGACCCAAATGGGTTGCACACATCGCGACCATCACGGTTGTGCTGGGGGCACCGGTAGGAAGCGTCTTTGTATGTAGCTTCTTGCGCGCGCCAGTGCCTGCGATCAAACGACTCAAGATAAAGAATCACGGGTTGCTCTATATTGAATGAAATTCGTTGATCATGGTGTCCATTTCGCGACGTAACGTTTCGTATGTAGTGTGCTCAGTAGCGATTTGTTCTATGAACAGAAACATGAAAAATCGGGAAGAGACAAATTACCCTATGAAAAACAAAATCAAATGTTTCGATGTTCTTCAAAATAGTAGGCTTAATTGCGCATATCTACACTGATACTGGCTGCCAAATCGATGTAAACCTATGAGGCTCTAAAGTGTCATCGAGTTGGTCTGCTGGGACCAATGTGGTAAGAGGCCAAAATCTGTTTCCAAAACAGCTCCGCTGTCCTTTCATCCACCGACACACATCTACCATTGAAGCCTTTTGTGGTTGACGTTCTTTGACAGGTTGCTCATTATCTTTATTATATGGTATATCTCAGTGACTATGGAACAGACGCATCAGTTTCGAGTCGTTAAATTTCTCATCACTCAAATGAATAATCTTACTCGAAACGGCACACTTCATTAAGAACAAATGTTCGCTTCACCGGCGAGCAAAACCTTTTCAAGCGGATACATTTAGAAACGACAATAAAGCGTTAAAAATGTATACAGCAAGTTTATGAAACCACTATTTATCATGCGTTGGAAAACTCAGAACCGTCACCAGTTGTACGTTGGATAATAACGAATATCATTGAAGTGACTCACCTTTAGTGCGTTTAATTTCCAAGGTACGCCGGCTGACTTCTGCTTCTGCTGCATTTGCGCGGGATTCGGCCTTGTGACGGAGTTTCGTGATTAATTTAAACCCGGATATTGTGACAAAAACAAAGGGTGATCGCAAAAATAGAAAGGATACCATGCATCAAACAAGCATTAACAGCAAATGGAAACAATGAAAAATAATTGGCAGTGATGCAGTCCGGCGCCTATGACCCAATGCAGGTGGTCGATTAAAAACATGCCTAATTGAAAGGAACATATCTACAGAAGAGAATATCCAGTAAACAGCACCTTCCAAGTGGTCAACTTCATTCTGAAGTTTGGAGACCTGTCGCTCAGCTTCAGCGGCACGTTGCTCTGCCTGTAAAGAAGAAAATCGCGTTTGTTTTAAACTACTTGATGCATGTCTTCCAATGATCGGTTGCATAGACCATGCGAAAGGGGCTCGCAAATCATGCATTGGCATGCTCTGATAAGGTCGAATACCCCCGGCTAAGATGCCACAAATGCTCTTGGGAAAATGAACGATAAAAGTGCATCGACGGCTTACTCTCTGATAACCGATTTTTCAGCCGGCTCCGGAAGAGAAAATGCACTTTGGTTGAAACAGATAGTGGTAGCTGTCTTCTTAAATGATAGTGGCTCAGTGATTGACAAAAACGACCGCCAGGATGGATAAAAAGCACAGTAGGAAACTGATGAACAAATAGTGGAATTATGTAAACCATGGAAGAGGAGCTCTTGGGGACCGTAAAAAAGCTCTTCATTTATAAGTTTTATCTCTTTTTACCGTCAGATGATAGTTGTTCAATAAATTTCCTATCGAAAGAAAATCATTACTGATCAAGTGGGTGGAACACTTATGTTCTATCTTAGAGGTTTCCGACTTTACTCCCGGTTAGGTGAATCGAAATACACCAAATGTCGAACAGATTGAGACAGATGTACAGTACTTGTCAGTGGTGGTGGCCAGGCGATTTAAGTTTCAAGTGCTCCGCGTTAAGTCTACATGCACGCTTGATTAACCGCTTTACCGTGTGCCAACTCAACACGATGTCCTTGTGGTTTTTTCCAGGGCTCAAGGTGTCGGGTTATCATAAAGGAATAACAGGTTCAGTTGACTAGGCTTGATCTATCCAACAGTTTATCGCATTATATTGTGCATAACAGAAAATGAAATAGTACCCTAGTTTACGCCCAAGGTCTGCTTGACTAAACAGTAGAATGATTGTGGATATTGGACTCATCACTACTTGTGAAACACTACCAGAGGTTGGTGCGAAAACGAAATGAGTATGGCTGATTAATGAGACGGAGGTCTGAGGATGCTGATTAGAAGTGATTCATTTACGGACCAAAACGCAAACCGGCGCAATCTGAATGCCTGGCCAATGAACGGATACCATTAACCAAGTCTCCCAAAGAGCATCACAGAAGTTAGCCAACTGATAAATGCTTCCAACTGAACTACAATAGTTCATCCTGTACTCACTTCTTCGACGTGTTGACGCAATTTTGCCGCGCGTTCTTCTAGTGCTTTTTCCCGTTCGACAGACTAGTGCACATGCAGGAGAATATTGGGAGATGATATCGCAGGACATGCAAGGCAAGCATGAAAGGGAAGGGCAGACCAAGGAAAAGCGGGAATTACTTTGTGTGATCCAATCTATTACCAAGAAAGAACCTCGTGATCTGAAATAACTGTAGTTATATACCCCATCTCTCGAGCAGTCTTTCACAAGCATAATGGAGCTTCGTAACCAACCAATGGAGTGTAGAGGTATTTTACTTCTCAACTGCATTACCTCCATCGCTGCCTATCAGTGATACTATACCATGTCGGAAGCAACGCCAAAAGGCTGATACACAAGGATGTTTCATGAACGGGAGCAGTGTCCGCCTAAACAACATACAACCCTGACGCCATCTTTTAAACGGCAACTATTCTGTTCGAGTGGATGAGAAAAAGCATATCGACGACTGTAGTTTGGTTGTGCGAACCGACGGGTATAGTCAGAATACACAACACAAGTGAAAGGGGCAGCAAACTGCATTTCGTTCCACGGATCGGGGTCAGGCAATACATGCGAGAGCCTTGCATAGTTGATGCTCACAGCCTTCAGGCGTTCGGTCAGATCCCGGATGGTCTCCTCGTAGCTCTCCTCACGTTGGGCGGACTGAAAATATAAACAAAAATGGAGCAATACAAACCAAACCAGTTGAACAAACGACAGACGCGAGAACATGAAATGGAAAACAAATCGGAAAACAGATATTAGCAACACTAAAAATCATACATTGATACAGTGCAACGTCTACATACTGTTTTTTCCAAAAGATCGAGTTTACAATGCCAACATGGGCACTGTCTTCCTATATAGCTTTGAGTTAGTCTGGTTGCGCTGGTTACACTCGGACTGTGTTTGAACACAACAAAAAACGATTACAGTAGTGAATCATCACAGGTTAGATTTTGGTGGTAGACAGCTTTGCTTTCGTCCGGTTTAATACCACGTCCAACCTAGCGGGTCTTCTGAAGGTCGCCACCCCAAGTTCCAGGGCTTAAGTTGCGGTTTTCATCACTGAACAAGTCTTCACAACTGTGGGGTCTACCCCCGTCTGTTGTTCATCACACGGTGTATGTAACAAAAGATTCGCTGAAGAATCTTCAGTGGTTGAGATCCGTGTTGCGCATACCCACCAGTGACTGTCCCATCACGGAAGGTTTACATAAGCTAACTAACTGAAAGCAGTGTCAAGCTGGATAACAAAAGCACGCTAGAAGAATCAAAGTGGTAACCCCAGAGCCAACAAATACAGGTCACTACTGAGGCTTCTAGTCTTACTGGCGCTGATGCGGATCTCGTCGAGAGAGATGAAGCCGCTTTCTTAGATTGCATCCCAGTCGGCAGTCGGTTGTGTGCCGTGCAAATTAAGCAGTCGCAGCCCCAGTGGAGGCAGCATGTTTTTTTTGTCGCGACTTACGCACTAACAGACTACAGCCCAGATGCAAAGATGCATCATCAATAACCCAAAGACCTCTCGAGCTGATTTTAGCAGACAGCAATGGAAGTCTTCGAGCACAGAACGCCGTATTCTGGCATCCTGAGGTGTGTTGAATAATCCCGATTGGTATCTAGCGTAAGGCATGAATTGTAACAAAGATATAAGCCTACACTGAAATCGAAAAATATGGTACCCTCAGTGTGCATCACAGATGGAACGGTTCTCCACTATGCGAAATTCTCGTTATTTGTTTCTTCTCCGGGTCCTACTTGGGAAGTGAAACGATCTGTGAAGCTGATGGGATGTCTCTCCCCAGTCAACAACGTCGTCTTGCACCGAGTTGGTCCCTTAAGGACGGTTCAGCTGTTTGTCAGTCAGCTCCTCCCAGCTACTCCAACACGTCCCATGATCAGTTTCTACAGATCCATCTACTGAAGAGAAATCCGCAGGGAGATGCAAACCCTACAATATCGCAAATCGCCGGGCTCTGATGGCCTTTCCCCAGCCCTATATAACGAGAGTGGAACACAGCTTGTGGGAAAACTGAGTTCTGTTTTCTAATGTTTGGTACACTGAACAGGTCCCATCCTTACAGAGAGCACCGATCGTTGTCCTCCTCCGCCATAGGTCCTTATGTTGATCATGCCAGATCGGGATCTGCCGCTTTTGTTTCATTAGGATTCGGGGTTCGGTCTCACAAGTTTGCTTCTGAAGGCATCGCAAATCTAATTTGATCCCACTGCTAATCTACCCCACCATGTCGCGTTTCTCCTGTCCCAGCTTCTCTTCATAACATGCGCAGACAGATGGACAACGCAGACGATGACGAACTAACTGAAGAAGCGATTTCTGCTGATGACTGATGGAGCGAACTTCACTGATCGCTGTCAAACTCGCAATGCATATGCATTGGGGTTTGCTGGACGGGTGTCCAGCCACTAACCAGATTCGACTCAACGAAGGTGGTTCAATAGGATTTGCAATTTTGTACGGAACCACGCAAGCGGTAACATATAGCTGCGGTCTATTTGGGTCATTTTCCCGTCGAACTAGAACACTATGTAGCCGGTCGACGAGAGCTGAGTCGACATTAGGCGCTAGATAAGAACAGCCGGTGATCTGCGCAGAACTAAACTAGTCGACCACTGTGGTCTGTTTGTTGGGCGAGCAGAGTGAAGTACCTTCGTTGACAGTCTTCGGAGGCGCTCAGTCTTCCAACCTGCGCGCTAAAATCACCTGCCAGCAATGTAGCGGTTCAAACGAATGAGTTCGGTAAGTTTGTTGTAGAATTCCTTCTTTTTGTGAAGTGGAACTGCAGTTGGTTGGTGCATTCGTAAATAATGAACAAACACTTGGTGATGCTGTCCTTACGAACTTAAACTGAATCCTGGAGTTTCGTTACCGACAAACCAGTATTGAAGGGTACCCAATCTATCAGTGAGGCTTCAGTTTTATCGCCTAATACGACTCTTGCACCACGCTAACTCAGTGAGCGAACTTCATCTCCTGATGTACGAAGGGAATGCTTCGATGATGGACCCGGCGTACTCAGATGGCTTATAATACTCTGATCTTTAATTCATGTCTCCGATACGCAAGAAACATCAAATTCCGACGACTTCATTGGACTTTCTGCATTCGACCGTTGGTCTTTGAGGTATGTCTGTGTACGTCCTCCCGATAGGATGAAATCCAGCTTCACACCACGGTTTCCACATGCTAGCAATATCACATGAACATACTATCAGAAACACTGCGAGAAAACCTATCAAACACGCGTAGCGTAAAACCTATGAGCATGAGATATACAACTCACTTCTTGTTCGGAAATTTCAAGAGCCTTCATGTTGTTGCCAACCTCCCGAAGTTCTTCCTCCAATTCGACGATTTTGCTTTACAGTGGTCAATGGAAGAAAAAAATACTGGTTGGCGAAACAACTTGTAGAAACTGAGATAATGGGCTTAGGGAGCTGACATTCACGGTTGCAGGCAGAAACAGGCTTAGTTAAAAATGAGCGAATGATCATGCCAATTAACCTGCATTCAAAAACCTAAATAGCTCTAAATCCCGTTATCTGGACTTCGCGCATTTGGCCTGGCAGCCAATTGATATGGGTAACGCAGAGGACGATCACTGATCAATTTGGTAGGGCACTGTCCGGTTTTACAATGCATAGCTCTGGAAGTACCTCTTCTTGTTTGATTTCCAACGCCTTCATAGATGTAGTCAGGGTTTTGAGGTCTGATTCCAGTTCTTTGATTCGCCTGTAAAAAGAAAAGGTTGATGAGCATAATAAGATACGAAGATTGGATACATCAAGAGTGCAACAGTGCTACAAATAACTAAGTAAAATTTCCGAAAAAAGCTCTGGAATGGACAAGGTTGCTAAATAAACGAGCAGTAATCTGCTGCCTTCCATAAAATGTTACTTTATTCGGTCGGAACCTCGGATAGAAAAGCTAAACGGAGAGGAGAAAATCATTTTAAGCGTCGCTCAGGAAGACCTTGTAGATTGGCTTGGGAAATCGATTGCGAGCCTTGCATGAGTAAAATGTGGACATGACCTCACTTCAATAATGACACGGCATTGACCAATAACCATAATAAACTCCAAATCGATCAGGTCTACCCTTGTATTCTAATTAAATGACTGTAGATATATAAATACATAGTAAATGAATGAAGCATCTACTGCAATCATTCATTTTATTGGACTCGGGCTTGCATCACGGTTGGGTCCACAACAGAAGGAAGATATGAGGACCAATCGTGTGCTCGTGGATCTTATGAAGTGAGAAAATTGGCGAACCACATGGGAAATCAGTTAAATAGGTGCATCTGAAGTAGGCAATAGGCAATCACCCAACTATAACCGACAGGTAGGTTCAGCAATCAGGTGGACACTAATGGACCGAACGGAAAAGCCATGTTTGTAGCCAGGCGAAAATAGCGTTATCAACATAATTGTTGAAGGCATACTTTTTAAAGTACTTACGCCTCAGCAGCAGCAACACGATCTTCGGCCAAGTGTAAATTCTCCTCCGTGAGTGCCAGATTCCGGGAGACCTCAAGAAGAAAACAATGGCAAGATAAGCAAGCACATGCAACATGCACAATTATAGCTATATCATGTATCGCAAATAAAATGAAAAAATCTATCACTAGATGAGTACGAGCATTGCATGTAGGGGGACGTGTCCGCAAGACCAACGAAGATGCAGCGATGACGATGGGCGTGCCAGACAAGCTACCTTTCAGCGGCTTCCAATCGAGATTCGGCACGCTCGAAATCGACTTCGACGATGGCAAGTTTGCGAGCAGCCTATGACGAAGCAAAAAAAGGGATAAGAAAAATTGTCACTACCATAGCGGAAAATTGTTACGAAATTGTATTGTATTGTATTGTGATAACTTCTGCAGGCATGAAGTCTACATTTCATTTAAAAGTACACAGTTTGGGGTAAGGGGGAAAATATATATAAAAAAACAATTACAAAGAAAAAGAAACGGAAATTAAATCCGAAAACTGTTTACAAAGTCTGTGAAAACCTGCTCTTTGTTAACCAGAAATAATGAATTGGAACCAAATAATCAAAAGTTCGATGATGAACACGAAAGAATGATCCTTACCTCGTCATATTTTCTGTCAGCATCCTCCGCAATGTACTTGGCTTCCTTCTGCTGATCTTCTAGTTGACTGAGCCGTTCGTCATCAGCAATAGAACGGGCTTCTAAGTCCTTTCGCTCACTGAAATCAAATTCGGGTTCATAACCACAGTGGAAAAGCCGTAAAATTGTATCAAAGATTACATGTGAGTAACCCATGCGAGAAAGGGGGAATTTTTGCAAGCAGAAAGATAATTGGTGAAGCCAATTATTACCTCCTCATATTTACGCTCTGCTTCGTTGGCAGCGAACTTAGCTTCGATAGCTGTCCTTTCCAACAGCTCTACATTCTTGTCGTAAGTGTTTAACCGATTTTCAACGCTTCGACAGGATCTGCATGCAGGGAAAATGGGGATGGCATGCAAGGAAAAATTAGGGGTTCGACAGAAACTTACCGCTCGCTCTCCTCAGCAGTTTTGCTTGCTTCCTCGAGTTTTGCAAGTGTTTCTGTGAGACGGCTGGAAGAAACCTCCAAATCCTCCTCCAACAAACGAATACGACGAGTCATAGCAGCAACTTCAGCTTCAGCCTTCAAATATAAAATGGGAAAAATAGTTATTATCCGGCTTACAGTTTCGCGGAGCGATGTCTGCAATTTAATGTCTTCGTCTTTCGTGAGCAATTCAGTCTTCAAATTTTCAATTTCGTTCTGCATTTCCAACAGCTTCTTCTTAATAACCTCCACGACACAAGACCCGCCCGTCATTTTGCCTTTTGCAAGTGTAGCGCAAACTTTCAAAAAAGGCGCCTGAGGAACGCAAGCTTTACGGGAGTATGTGAAATGTTTGTTCTTTTTGCACCGCAAGCCGACTTGCGAGCAACGAAATCGCGTAAACATGCTCTTTTGTTGCCATAAAGTTCTTATTTTTGTCCAAAATACGAACGAACTACTAAGGTGCGCCAAAATGTTATCATTTTAATAAGAGCTGCCATTCACGGGGATTTACGGGTTTGCGAACCGACTTTTTCGAGTAGCCCGATTTCTGGTAATAGGTTTACTGCTCAGTATCAGAAGAAGGTCCCAGGGTTAGTTGTCTTTTACTCTGCATCTGATCATTTCTGAAATGAGAGACAGTTTGGGTGCTACTGGTTGAGTGTATTTTCCTGCTCGCGTAATTAGGCAACAGACTGTACGTTATAAGCCTAGTTCATGAAGCACGTGACGCAACAAGCGTCGCAGTGTCCCTATGGCTCAGAACGTTACAAAAGCCGCTCCAAACAGCCTGACCACACAAGCATACCATGAAATCATTCTTCCAGCAGTCGGGGTAGAAGAGAAAGAGTATCAGTGGGTAAGTCTATAGAGGAAATGGTCGGGGTTTCCGCCCGCACCGTAACAGAGCTACAGTAGACGTTTATTTGGCACAGCACCAACAGGATGCCCCAGAGCTGCATGACTCCGCGGCTTTGACCACGATAAATACTTTCTTTCGCAGAGTCACTTTTAACTGTCACCTTATTCCAATCACTGTCTGACCTAGTTCTTAACGTTTATCAATTTCCTTGTTTATGACATTGTAAGCGATATAAAAGCTTATACTTTTTATCCCTAAGAGTCGGCGTCACCTTGTTTAACTTTATGGAACTGAAGTAAGTCAACTAATATCAGTCGTGACGATCTTCTAAATAGTTCTTGTTGTTCTCGCGCAACCAAGTGACTATCGAACTAAACCAGAACATGTGTGATTGTGTTAGACGTGTTAGACGAACGAACGCAAATTTGCGTTCAAGTATGAAGGCAGTGTATACCAACAAGTACTGTAAAGTAAAAAAATAATTAAAAATAAAATGCGAGCTTCCGAGTGAAAAGTTAGCCTGAGTAGAAAAACCTGATGATTCGTTGGTACTGGAATGACAATGTAAACACTCGGACAGGCATTGACAAATGAAAAACGTCGGAAGTTGGCCGAATTTCTTAATACAATCAGCTGCACAGTGTCACATCGTCATCATGTTTTATACTAGGAACAGACTTTTCCTATGGAGCATGCTTACTTTATTAGCTGCTTCAGTTTTTAATTAAAATATCATATTTTGCGTGGGTTCAAAGTGGCCTGAATCGCTAAAACGGGACCACAATTCATTTTCGATCACATTTTATAGACTTCCTGATAATCAATGATATTCCAGATAACGTCCAAATACATTTGTGCGTTTTTATTTTTCCTATAGAAAGCGATTATTACTTACTGGAATGAAGGCATTCAATTCTAAACCTCACAGGATTGACATGATTGAATAAATTAGAGTACCCACCCACCTTAAGTTCTTAAGATGAAGTAAATCAAAATTAGATCCGTGATATTTAGGCACTTACCCTATATCCGAGGGCTTGTGACGTCATTTTCTACCAAAATCGAAAGTGCTTTCTTCTCTCAAGTAACTATCGCGGTCCGAGCCTCTGAATATAGTAGACTCAGAGTCGCGTGATTTATCCACGTTCACTTCAGTAGTATTGCACCTCAGCGTTTCAACACATAAAAAGCTCATAAATTACCGTGTGTACGATAAAAGCTAAATTTTATCCCTGATTCGTGGCTCGGTTAAGCCTAACCTGTTCTTCGAACTGAGAATAGGCTACTTCCAGATTGTTAATGCGAGTGTTGCCACTTACAAGTAGACGAGGAATTTACTAGGAATTTACTTGGATAAACAGATCCTTCGGAGAACTTCTAAAAGATAGTGAAAAATGGAGACACGGGATTGAAACTTTGACTTTTAATACCACTTCGGTACCCTCTACTGTAAAAGAAATATATTTAGACTTCAAACGCGAGACGCTGGTTTTGATTGTGTAAAACTCGATATGTGGTTATTTCAAATCCTACCTGTCGGAAAAAAATTTATGCACTGTTGATATTCCAAGAAAGATGCCTCCAGAATTTGTCTGTTAATATTCTATGTGATTTAATCCGCATTTCCTACCTACTTCGAACACAACTACCAGATTACTTCATTGTTTATTGATAAAGTATGATAACGTTAGGCTTACTTCCTGACCAAGTGTTATCCTTGAAACAAAAAATAGTGAAATAGTCTCCCACTAAACTTATTGTACCACTGGAGAATAATCAAATACATGATGAAAAATAAATACTGTGCTCAGGAACCTGATATAATTTTATTTGAATGCGCTAGTCACTTTGAAAATTTTGATATTACTCCTCATTTATACTTTATTTTAGACTGAATACGAGCTAAAATATTAACTTATATTCTCTAGTTTGGATGCGTGTGTTACGTAATAACAAAGATATTGACCATCAATATTCTAGTTAGTTCGTGTTCCTCGTTGTGTTTCATGAGAGTACCTTACAAAGGAGATATGTTCTATGACTGATAATTGGAAGGTAGGCAACAGGGCTGTCGAGCATGTTAATCAATACATAGACAACCATTCACAACGCGCATATGACTGGTGTCTCACGATACGGTGATAACAAACTCACATTGGTTGCCCGTTTGTCAGTCTCTTCCATTTTGTTCAACGCTTCCTGAAGCGATTCTTGAACCTCATCGCATTCGGTTTGAGCCTGCTTCAATTTGGTGTTCAACTCGGCAATATCTGATTCCTTCTTCTCTCGTTCCTGTTCCTTCTTCTTCAGCTCAGCTTCATACTGAACCGCTCTGTAATCGGTCGCACACACCCGATAGCAGAATACAAACATATGTGCACGCGCACACACATGCAGAAGGCAGAGAGAGAGAGAGAGAGAGAGAGAGAGAGAGAGAGAGAGAGAGGAAAAGACGCATCAGAAAGGTAAAGAAACGATATTAAATCAGGGAATTGTATAACAAAAGGAATTCGAAGCGTAAAGTGTTGTTCAGCAGTTTCAAAATGATTAGATATCACACTTCCAGAGTGTTTTCATCCATGCATGTATGCTACGGGGTAGATGATCAGGCTTGTTGACTTCGACGGTCAAGGAAAGAGGATGAAAGAATTCTCATTCATACTTTTTCTGTAAAACCACTCAATTGTTGACGAAACCTGGGTAGATTGTGGGACAGTACTTACCTTTCAAGAGCGTTCTCCTTCTCCAACTTCATCGCAATCATTTTCTTCTTAATTCCGTCCATGTTTGTTGGGATGAAAGTGAACTGATGTCAAACGATTCCGTGGAGCAAAGAAATTGGTATAACTTTCAGAAAACTGTTGCAACACTAAGTTCAACTTGCGAGAGCGAGAGAGAAACAAGTGTAGACCACGAAAGTCGAATACTTCGGAACGACACGACACGACACGCGCGGCACAGCACAGAAATGAACGGAAGCAGTCACAACACTGGCTCTTAGTTTGACTTAAGGGGCTGAGAGATTTGTTGGGTTGGCTTCCCAATTGACCAATCCCGTGCGTATCACGGGCATCACTTGCCAAATCGATACACCCGACCATGGTGCATTGCATGAGGGTGCGTAGGTGTGCCCATGCGTTGAATAGGTTAGGGCAAACGCACGTTTGAATAGGCCACAGTATCTCTCTCGCGCGTGCTGTGTGGTGGTCACTGGGCGAATGATAGGTAACCAGTACCGGATGGGTGCTGTTCACAGATTCGTGGGCGTCCTGTGTCGCATACGTGCCGGCCATGTACAGGATTCGATTTTGTGCCCAGCCCTTCCCCAACACTAATGAAGGTTAGCCTTTTGGACAGGGATACCGAGAGAAAAGTGAACAAAAGCAGACGTACAAACATGCGGTCGGGCAACCAATGAATGACTGGCAGACAGGCATGTAGACTAGTTTACAAGGGAAATGGGTGCATTCTGTGTTTTTCCTAGCAAGACATCTGCTTGGGGTTTACGGACAAATTATTCGATCAAATCACGTACTTAAGCTACAAGTGAATGGCACAGACGATTACGAATAGCGTTTAATTTTCAATATCAATTAGTTTGATTTTACTGTCAAATGAACTATTTGTTTCCAATAAATGTAGTTTTCCGGTAATTAGTTTTATGTAAATAAAATAGAAATACAATCCTAAGAGGCAATGCATTGGTAAATTCAAGTTCTGTTTATTTGACACTGAACTGAATGTTTAACGTTACACTTGGGAAAAAATCGTTCGAATGAACGTTCAATTGTTTACTTTTGACTTACACTCAGTCATTCAACAGTCTTTGTGATAAAAAATGGGTGCACATCCTGAAGGAACCGATGGATGAATAATTCCGGACATTTGCTTGCATAATAGGGCAAACAAGTAGTGTCTGCAAAACTTCTCAATGACAATTATCACACTGCGACTGAACCAATTCCTGATCACGTA